CAGACTCTGGATCTCCATACATTGCTAAAGGGAAAGGGAGTATTACTCCTTCTTACGTCTCTGCATAAGTCTTAAGCAACTTTCGGTGTCTGCTGGGTGTGACTAGTTAACACTGAGGTGTTGATTGAGAGGCTTTAGGCATATGGGTTTGAGGGAGAACCTTCAGTGCATTCTTAGGAAATGTGATGGACTCCTTGGATTTATCAACGGAGTTCTTATCATTTCCCCTCTTCCGCTTATTATTCGCTGGTGCCTTCATAGCCTCTGGTGCTTTCTTGGCCACAAGCTTATCAACAGGCTAGTTTTTCTCTCTCACACACACACACACACAATTAGAGATCAACTATAAATAAATTTTAGTTATGAATTTAGATGTTATACGTTTGGGAACGGTGTTGAAATATGTATAAGACGAACCGACCATGCTATAAAGCTTCCAATTGCATCTGCTACTGTCCTTGACTGTCCCTTCAGGGAGAATCTCATTATGAAGCATCATTTGGCCAGCAATATTGTACATTCGTCCCAGTACAACCAAACTGCCATCCTCTCCTAAACAATCAACATCAGCCTCACCCTAAAAAGACAAAATCATTACATAATATGAATAATATTACTATGAATAAGGCTAGGAAAATCAATAATATTACCTTAGGTAGGAGCTGAGATGGGATTGTGCAATTGTCATTCACACTAGGGCTAGCGTCACTCAGTGAAAGTCCTAACTTATGCCAATTCAACAGCATGTCAATAAGTCTAGATTGCTCTTGTATCTGCTATGACTGTGCTTATATCTGTTGCTTTTGTTTTGCTAGCTCTTGCCTTAGTTCTTGAATCTCAGTAGAAGAAGCAGTTTTTTGACAACGCTTGTACCCCTCTCCAAAGTATTCTTTCTTTGTGATGCCAAAGCTGACACCCCAAACACGACCACGATGGTCAGTATTTCTTAATGCCTTCTCCAAGATATCTTCATCAACAGTAAGAGTGCCTGCTGATGCCTTCTGAGTCAAGCTCTCCTATAAAGTAATAAAGGTAAGGTAAATAAGTAAAAATAAATAATTAATAACATTATATCATTAACATTTACTATTGTGTCAACAACCGCCTTTGTTTTTGGATTATCAATATTACCTTGTTTGTTCTTTCGAGCCTCAACCCAAATCTTGCCATTAGAAATCGAACCCTTCGGCACCTGCTCTTTTTCAATCAAGGCCTTTTCAACACCTGCATATCCCTTACGCCTAGCCTTATAAGTATATTTATTCTTCTTTGCCAACTCTTTGTTCTTGGTGCTTAATGCTTTTAAAAACACAAAACATGACAAATAAGTTGAAATAAATGCCAACAAAAGTAACAATCTTTTAATAGACTAACAAAAATAATACCTTAAACTCTGGACTACGGCGTGAGTCAACAAAATCTTTCCATTCATTCAAATTTACAATCGGCCTAAGAAGGGGAGGAACTGTGTCTTCAATTTCCTCTACATCAAGGTTCTACAAGAATTTATGAGAGACAAAACTTCTAAAAGCTCAGAGGGCTGCCCCAGCCTTTTATAGGATGTACTTCTTGTGCCTTTCCTCAATCTCAAATCCCGACTGTAAAACAAACAAGTCAACTTGTGAGAAGAACATATATCATAAACAAGTTTAAAATAATAATCTTACCATTATAGTATTCCATACTGCATCCTCATTGCGGGAGTTGCATTCCTCCATGACTTTAAATTAATAGGCACACAAGACTTCGCTGCCACCCTAATATAACTGATGAAATTATTACTATCAATTACTTGATTTTTATTATTCTACTTGACAGTAAACTTCTTCCCTTAATTTCTTGCTTTTGTCACCTGCTCCATCACAACCAACCCCTTCTTTAGTTGTTCTTCCTCCTTATTAGTTACATTTTGCCTACTACCATCATTTTGCTTGCTAGGACTACTAGATTTAGATCCAGTATCTAGATAAGCACCCTCGATAGCCATTTACCTATGAAGACATCAATAATCAAGATTAAATAAAACAATAATAATTCAAACAAGAGCAATATCTTAACAAGATCAAATAAAAAATATAAAACTGAAAAAATAGTAAGTAAAAAATAGTCATTTACCTATTTATTTCGTTCTTTTCCTTTTTCTTGTCCTAACTACTTTTTTAACTAATTCCTTTTTAACTTTAATAACTTTCTTCTTCAATTGAATTGATTTCCCCTTCTTAGAAATCTAAATGCCTTCATTGTGATCATGTCTTATGTAGAAATCACTATCTTCAACATTATCTAAGTCATCATCATTTTTAAATGATGTCCCATGAAACGGATCAACCTCAACTTCATCATTTTTTCTATTTTACTCATTTTCATTACTTTCTACAGCTTCCATTTCTTCAACTTCCTTATTACTCCACAAAACAGTAGACCATTCCTTATCAGCAGGATCATTGACATAAAAAACTTGTTTGGCTTGAGATGGATAAATGAAAGGATCTTCTTTATACCCTTCCCTTCTTTAGATTCACCCTAATCAACCCAAAGTCATCGACATCCAACCCATTATTATTTTCAACCCACTTGCAACCAAAGACCAGCACTTGAAAGGAGATATAATCCAACTCCTAAATATGCTCAATTACCCCAAAGTAATGCATTCTAACCTAGATGGGTTTTTTTATCTTTTGTACTGGAAATTTGCATGCCATCAACTATAGTAGATACACCACTATTTTGCATCATGCTTTGATCATCGTGCTCCTTCGTGTAAAACTTGTACCCATTGATGATATAGCTTGTGTAAGAAAGGACATGTTTGTTTGGTCCTTGTGATAACCATCTCAATCTATTAGGAACTGAATTAGGATCGACATTATACCTCCTTTCTATATGCTCTTTTAACCAGTGTATAAAGTGTTTATTGTGTACAACTATCTAATCGATAAGGGTTTTGCCTCTTAAGCTCTGTTTGGTGAATCTTAGTGTAATCATCAACCTCTAAAGAGTTGTATAGCATAAAAAGTTGTACTTTTTCCCACTGGTCACTTGAGATAGTGACAACTTTTCTTCCTATTATCCTTTCTATACCTTCTTCACCAACAACCCTTGAATTCTTTAAGTATTGACTACAGAAGTTAACAGCCTCTTCACTAATATATCATTCAATAATGCAACCTTTTGGTCGACTTCGACTTTTAACATAACCTTTCAATACTTTCATGTGATGATCAAATGGATACATCCACCTCAAATAAGCAGGACTACATAATTGTACCTCTCTAACCAAATGAACTGTTAGGTGGACCATTATATCAAAGAATGCAGAAGGGAAAAACATTTCCATCTTACATAATGTTTGCACAATTCAAATTTGCAACCTTGGTAACTTATCAGGGCTAATTACTTTACTATAGAGACACTTGAAGAAGTAGCATAGGTTTATGATTGTAGCTCACACATTATCAGGTAAAATATCACGTACAGCCACCGGAATAAAATTCTCCATCAAAACATGACAATCATGAGTCTTTAAACCTTTTAACTTTAGATCTTTCAGTGAAACAAGATTCCTAATGTTTGAAGAGTACCTATCTGGAACCTTGACCGCATCAAGAAACTCACAAAAACTTTTCTTTTCATTTCTAGACAGTGTATGAACTGTGGCATGAAGAAATGTATGAGTTCCCTTCTCTTGAGGTGCCAATTCTTCTCTTATCCCCATTACAACCATGTCTAACCTTGCATTAATGCCATCCTTAGTTTTTTCCTGAAATATTAAGTAATGTGCCAACAAGACTATCACAGACATTTTTCTCAATATACATTAAATCAATGAAGTGTCTCACATTTAAGGTCTTCCCGAATGGCAACTCGAAGAATATTGACATTTTCTTCCACCCGCTTGTTCCAACATGCTTTGCAAATGGTTTACCAAATTGAATATCAGCGTCTTTTACCTTTTCAAACAATTCCTCACCGGTCAATTGCTTTGGTGGCCTCCCTTCTTCTGATATTCTGTTGAATGACTTTTTCTAACGACGGTATCGATGCTTGTCACTCAACCATCTGCAATGCCTAAGGTACACATTCTTCATACCATGTTGTAACCTCACCGAATGTGTGCCTTCTTCACAAATAGGGCATCCAAGTTGTCTTTTAATGCTATACCCTGATAGATTACCATATGCTACAAAGTCATTGATTGTACCAAAAAGCACGGCTCTCAAATTGAAATCTCTTCTTTGTAAGCATTATATACCTCTACACCTATCTCCTACAATAGCTTCAAGTCCTCAATTAGTGGTTCTAAATAAACATTTATGTTATTAGTAGGTTGCTTAGGCCTTGAGATTAGCAAGGACAACATAATATACTTTCGCTTCATGCAAAGCCAAGGAGGAAGGTTATAAATGACCATCATCACAGGCCATGTGCTATGGGTACTACTTTACATCCCATGTGGGTTCATCCCATCTAAGGGTGTTCAAAACCGATCCAAACCGAACGGACCGATCCAAACCAACCCAAACCGAAAGGAACCGATCAAAACCGATCAACAATCAAGTCTGCTTCGGTTTTTAGGATAAGGAAACCGAATGGTTTGGTTCAGGTTTCGGTTTTGAAAATTAAAAACCGAACCAGACCTGAACCAGACCTGATTAACAAAATATTATTTATTTATTTATAAAATATCTAACCTTAATTTCAATCCAAATAAACCCAAACCCCCTTATGCCTTACCCAGCCCATTACCCAATAAATAATTAGTAGCCCACTTCCCAAGCCCAAATGAGATCAGGAGAGACCATTAGGCTCAGTCAGACCAAACTTCACGAGTTCACGTCATGCTCACGCTCACGCCTCAGTCCTCACGGTCACGGATTCATCACGTCACGGAGTGGTTCAGCTTCAGTCTGGCCTAGAGAGTCACGACTCACGAAGACACAAACGACTCACGACCTGCCTTCCCTTACGTGTGGCTCACACTTTAGGTTTAGGTTTCCTTAATGCTTGAGCCAGGCTTGCACAATACGCATCACACAGATAGACACACACAAGACTGCAGAAAACCTCAGAACCAAGCCAAAGACGACGCAGAGAGAGAGTCTAGACGACCGAGTCAGTTCGCACACAAGCCACAGTCGTCGGCCACTCACAGACGCCACCCGTCGCTCGTCGGTCACGCGTTGCAGACCAAAGAGTTCACAGAACAGAGTTCAAGTCTTCCACAAGTCGCGCACACTCACACAGCCACAGTCGGCTCTCAAGTTCGGTTTTCACACTCGCGGCGTCCCAGAACAGAGTCTACTCGAGTTCACTTCTACAGTTCCACTTCCACTCTTCCAGTTCGAGCACAGTCTGAATCGCTTCGTTGCGGTCTGGAGCTTCGGTTGGTGTAATAATCTTGTTTCCTAATCCTAGTCGTTGCCTGATTGCCTTGCCACTATTCTTATTCTTATTTTGGTGTTTAGGTTGACTTAGATTTATAAGTTATATGATGCGTTTGTTGATCAAAGATTGTTGCCTAATTAGGTTGACTTGCTCTGCAATTGATAAAAGATTATTACTTTGATTTTAAAACAATATAAGTAAGTGTGACTGTGGGGTAGACCGGTAGAGCAAAGAGACCAAGAGGGACCACTTGTTTTGTTTTGATATCATATCAATGATATGCACATGAATACAAATATACAATAGGTAATAGAGTAAACATAATTTTTAACTTTTTTAATAAAGAGGATAGCATATTGTCTTTTTAATAGAACAACTTAATTTAATTTACTTTATTAAATTATCTTTCCTTTCATAATATAATGCAGGATTATTTGTCTTTCTTGAGAGGCCACTTGCATAGTGCATATCCTAGAGTTTCAATATGAGTGAAAATGAGGTAAATGTTTTATATAGTATTTTTTTTTTACAAAAAGCATTTAGTATCATATTTGATTGATATAATTGCTTATGTTTTTTTTCAGCAAGAAACATATATGGAGTTGATGGATGTTCATGATGATGATGAGCAACCTAAGAATAACAAGCCGGAATTGATTAACAATGCTCATGTAACTATGGATTCAAATCAACAAAAAGAGAAAGAGAAAGAGCAACAGAACGATCAAGAGCAAGAGAAAGACAAAGGTGAAAAGCAACCAGAAAATTCAAAAGTTACAGGTAAAAGAAAACCAACTAGACCTGAATCTTGGGTATGGAGTCATTTTACTTTGATGGAGGGTTGTGATCCTGAATTTCCAAGGGCCACATGTAATTGGTGTGGCTTTGATTATGCTTGTCATAAAAAAAGAAATGGCACTTCTAACATGGCAACACATTTAGAAGAAAGATGCAAGAAATTTGGTGTTAGAGATACAGATCCTAAACAACCTAAACTTTCCTTCCAACCAAAAAAAAAAGAAGAAGGAGAAGGTTGTGGAACTAGTTTGAAGGGGGTGACATTTGATCTTAATTCTTGTAGGCAAGCTCTTGCTAGAATGATAATTGTTGATGAGTTGCCTTTTAAATTTGTTGAGAATGAAGGTTTTCAATATTTCATGAGTATTGCACAACCTCTATTTCCCCTTCCATCACGTACTACAGTAGCTAGAGATTGCTTGAGTCTTTACTTGTCTGAACAAGCTAAGTTGAGGAATGTATTTTGTAAATCAAAACAAAGTGTTTGTTTGACCACTGATTGCTGGACATCTTTACAAAATATGAATTACTTATGCCTCACTGGACATTTCATTGATGATGAGTGGAAATTGCATAAAAGAATTTTGAACTTTTGTCAAATTGCTGATCATAAAGGTGAAACTATTGGTGAATTGATTGAGAAGTATTTGTTGAGTTGGGGAATTGATAGAGTTTTTACAGTTACAGTTGATAATGCCTCAAGTAATGACACTGCTATATCTTATGTTAAAGATAGGATACTTGATTGGAATGGGCACATTATGAAAGGAGAATACATGCATGTTAGATGTTGTGCGCACATCTTGAATTTAGTTGTTAATGATGGGTTGAAAGAGATTGGTGATACTTTAACAAGAATTAGAAATGCAGTTCGATATATTCGTGCATCACCATTACGGTTCCAAAAGTTCAGGTCTTGTGTAGAGCAAACAAGAATTCAAGAAAAGGATATTGTGAAGTTAGATTGTCCTACAAGATGGAATTCTACTTACATGATGCTTGAAAGTGCCTTGAAATTTCAAAAGGCATTCAAGAGATTAGAAGAAAAGGATACTACTTTTGCAATTGATAAGGAAGGACCCCCAACCATAAAGGATTGGGAAAATGCACGTGTTTTTGTCAAATTCTTGAAAATATTTTTTGATGTCACCAAAAAAGTCTCTGGCTCATTGTATGTTACATCTTCTCAATATTTTCATGAGTTTTGCTTGGTAGTAAAGACTTTGAATGATATGTGTCTAAGTGATGATCCTTTGTTGAATTCAATGGCAAGGAAGATGAAACAAAAACATGACAAGTATTGGGGGAATGTTGATAATTTGAATATGATGATCTTTATAGCTGTGGTACTTGATCCTAGGTACAAGTTGAAATTTGTGGAGCGGAGTTTGAAAAAACTCTACGATGAAGATATGGCTGAATATTTCACTAGGCAGGTGAAAGAGTTGCTTTTCAAGATGTATGATAGATACAAGTCTTTTCATGGCCTTAAAAAAAGTTCAACCAATACTCAATCCCAAGTGAAGGAAGGTGTTTCCTATGATGATGGTGAAAAAGATTCATTTGCAATGGAGTTTGATAAAGTTATGAATGAAGATGATAATGTTGAAAATCAATCAGAGTTGGACCTCTACTTGATGGAGACTAGAGAAAAAACAAATCCCAAATTTGACATACTTAATTGGTGGAAAGTGAATTCATCTAAATATCCTGTCATTGGACAAATTGCTAGGGATGTATTAGCCATGCCTATCTCCACTGTAGCTTCTGAATCTGCTTTCAGTACTGGGGGTCGTATACTAAATGAGTATAGATGTTCATTGGGTATCAAGACAGTGGAAGCCCTTATTTGTGCAAATAATTGGTTTCGATCTACTCCATTAGCAAGTGATGTTGAAGAGAAGGTGGATGAAATTGAGAAAATAGAAATTGGTAATATTTTTACAATTGAAAGTGATGTTTATTTAGTTTAATTATTTATTAGATTATTCATTGCTTTGACAATTTGTTTTATTATTATAGATCTTGGTGTTGTCACTTTAAATGAAGATGATGATAATTAGCTATCAAGATCTTCTAACCTCTTTTTGTATATGTAATTGGTAATATTTTTATAAATTGAAAGTGATATTTATTTAGTTTAATTATTTATTAGATTATTTATTGCTTTGATAATTTGTTTTATTATTATAGATCTTGGTGTTGTCACTTTGAATGAAGATGATGATAATTAGCTATCAAGATCTTCTAACCTCTTTTTGTATATGTAAGTACTAATGTACTATATAGTATATATGTGTCAATTATTTTATTTGTCATAAAATTATTCTTTTTATTTGGATATTGACTTGTTTTCTTCCTTCATTTCAGGTGTTATGCCTCATATAACAATTGATTGATGCTTGAGATGGAATGATTTTTTTTTGGATAATTTCAAGCATATGAATGTCTCTTTTTAGTTTAAGGACAAGTTGTAATTAAATATGTCAATTTTTTTTTTGAATGCTAGACATTTGGTATAGTTTAAGTGAATATTATGATAGATATTATGATATTGAGAAATGATTGCTAAAGACATGAGGTTATATAAATTGTATGTGTTAAGAAATGAGAATCTAACAATTAGTATCATCTTATTGCTTTAGATTAAGACAGCAACACTTGGCAACTTTTTGCTTTCTCTATGTTTGAATAATTATTGGCTTATCACATGCACACCTTGAAGGAAGTCAATGATTAACATGTTCTTTTTTATTTTCACAAACTTCCGGCTCATAATCAAAGGCTTGGCCTCATTGTTGCCTGTCGTTCTCATCACTGTAAGAATGGAAAAAACAAGATGAGTTAGTGTCAACGTGAGAAAGTGAAAAAGAAAACAATGATGACAAGGATTTGCCATAATGGAAAGAGAATAAGAGATTACATTATATTGACAACTATATTATAAACTTGGAAAGCTAAAATGTTAAAAATAGAGAAAGAATGATAAACATAGACCATGATGGGTGTTGGTCTGTTGGATATGTTGTTCTAGATTACAGTATAAGTATATAATAAATGTGCCCTAGCTTCCTGACTCGTTTAATTTTGTTCCTCCCCCATGTTGCTTTCGAGGATATTTGTCCTCTAGTTTTGTCCACACAAAAAGACTTAAACCAAAAGTTTCATATATTCAATTTATTTACAAGAAACATTTTGTTTAGAATTTTTTATAGTTATTTTTCGTTATATATTACATGTTAAAATATAGATATGTAGATAAATATTTTTAAATGACCTGAATAAAAATTCATAACATTAAATAATTTTAATTCTAAATACTATTACTAATATCAATTTTTATGATTAATTATTGTTATCATATTAAAATTTTATTATATTTTTATGCCTCTATTTATAAAAAAAGGAGTCAAAAAAATTAGTTTTAATGAATATGGATAAAAAAGAAAAATAAATAAATAAATTCATTAAAACTTGATCTAAACATTAACCAAACCGAACATAAAACCGAACCAAACCGATTATAACAAAAACCGATAAGGTCCCATTAATAAGTAAACCGATTGGTTCGGTTCGGTTTGGTTTTTGCCCAAAACCAAACCAAACCGAACCTATGAACACCCCTAATCCCATCAGTAGATAATGCAAGGCGTATTCATTTCTTCTTTACCAAACTCAGGGTACTTCATATCAAACCTTATCCATTTAGGAGAATCAGCTGGATGCTAAACCTTGTCATGTTTAATTCTCCCACGTGCATGCCATGTTAAGTTCTTTGCCTCTTCACGTATGCTATACAAGCGCCTGACTCTTGGAATAATAGGAAAATACCACATTGCCTTCTTTAGACTTTTCCCGTTCTACTTATAGCGTGATGCCTCACATTTAGGACAGTGGGTTAGCTCTTCATATTCATTTTTGAACAAATGCAATCATTAGGGCAAGCATGTATATTCTTATAACTCAGGCCAACTGTGCGTAACACCTTCTTTGCATCATATAGCTTACCCGGGAGCTTGTTATTCTTTGGTAGCATTAGTTTGATCAGAGAGAGCAAGCTTGAGAAGCATGTGTCACTCCACCCGCTTGTAGCTTTCAAGTTGTATAATTCCAACACAGTAGATAACAGAGTGAACTCAGTACAACCCTCATATAAAGGTGTCTCTGCATCAGTTTTCAACATTTTTTCTCTGGAAAATTCTTGAGTTCCCCTTCCATCGCATTAGACAATTCTTCCAAACAATAGTTAGTCTCATATGCACTTTTGTCAAAATCTAGTGATGATGAACAACTTTCCATATGCCCCCAATTATAATTATTTACATCTTCAGGTATTTCTCCATGCTTTACCTAACACTTATAACTCTAATCAATTCCATACTTAAACAAGTGGAGTTCACATGTTTTAGGAGAAATTGACCTCACATTACCACAGCTTAAATAAGGGCAAACAATTCAGCCATAATCTTTTACATTATTTACTGCAAACTTAACAAAGTCTACCATCCCATCCCAATATTCTTTAGATAAATGGTTGGCAGACATTCACTCCTTATTCATAATTAATGCCCTTGTCTAAGCAAGGTAATAAAGATAGAAAAGCATTCAGTGAGTCACAAGTTAATTATTTTTAAAAAAATTAGACAATTTTAGCGGCATAACGGCTTAAAATAAGTGTTCCTTAAGCCTTATTCTCTATTTATACTAATTTAATCAAGCAAAACATTAAACTACTTCAAAGAAAACTCAAATTTCTTCTACATAATTTCAAAATAAAAATTTGAAAAAATTTCGGCAGCATAACGGCATAAAATTGAGCACTTCCTGAGCTTAATGCCCTCTTTTCACAAATCTAATATTAAAATAACAATAATTTCAAACTAACATACACATAGATCAACCTCAAATTAATTTTAGAACAAAATTTTATAAGCTTTATAAGCTTGTAATGTGGAGGGTAGAAGGCAATTGATTGCAAAATATCACCAAAGCTCATTTTAGATAATAGCCACAAGTACTCACAATTCAACCACAAAGTGAGCTATTTCAATTAGACATGAACATAAAATGCAAAATATGTTGACATAATAATCAACTATGCATATTTACAAAGGCCCTCAGTAACAAAACAAATTAATAACAGAGTATCCAATAGTCAAACTAAAAGATGCACCATAGATAATCATAAGGATAAAAAATTCCCAATGTATATCAACACTAATTTTTAATGGTGAGAGCAACCTTAATAAATTTACATAGTATATCAATAACACTCAATTCATTCAAGCTTATAAATTTACATAGCTAAATTCTATTTTACAAGCTAAATCACACTATCTCTTTGCTCAATCCTATTTTACAGAGCTAAATTCCCTGAAATAACAACCTCAAGTTTCTAAATTTAAACTATTTATCAACCCAAAGTATAAAGCATCAATAATTGCAATTAGAAAGAAAGAAAGAAAAGATTAATTACCTTATAAGATCATGTGATATGGTTGTTCTAAAAGCAAGAGGACTTGGATTAAGGCCACGGGAACAGCAATAATTGGTAGGAGAAGTAGCAATGAGCCACAAATTGAAGCATAAGCACAACACAAACACCAGTGAACCAGGAGGCTGGATTGGCAATATTGGAATGAGCTCCAGGGACCTCAAACCAGAATGCAACTACGGCCTTTGAGAGCTGGAGTGAGGATGACCACCACAGTTCTTCAATGGTGAACAAGAGCTTAGGGTATTCATCTAAGGGAAGAGGCCACTGTACCAGCAATGAGCTCATGAAACAAGGGAAGAAATGCAGTGAACACAATGAAGATGGAGACAACAACAGTGATAGGTTGATAATGGGCTAGGACGAGCTCACAAGGCAAAGAACTTAAGGCCAATAATGGAGGGATTAGGGGTTTCAAATTGGAATGGGAAAGTCTGGAAATTTATTTGAATGACAGAGCACTGCTGCGCGAGCTCTCTGCTATGTTGTACGTAAGTGTGTTGAAGAAGCCAAGATATTCAATGGTTGTATATTGAAACCGTTGAATATATTTATGCATAGGCCAGCTCTCTGCTATTCAATAGTTATATATGAAACCGTTGAATATACTTAACACGTAGCTATCTCTGCTTTATTTAGATATGTGGTGCATAGATATTCAATGGTTATCTATTTCAACTGTTGAATATAATTTTCTTTTTTTTAAAAAAAATTACTTTGTTTATATATATATATATATATATATTAAACGGTTATAGGTCATCGTTGCATAAAAATGTGCCAAACGTATATATATACACTGTTAAATAAATAGCTTAGCCATCCATTACATATTTCTATATATATATATATATATATGTAAAAGAAGACCCTTAATTATTTAATAATTAATATACTAAATGGATAAATGAATATAATTTTTGAGTATATATCCATATACTCAACAGTTATAATTAATCATTCCATATATATTAAAAAAAACAAAAAACTTAGTCAAATAATTAATATATTAAACTATTAATTATAAAAAATGTTGAGTATTTAGACAAAATACTTCATGGTTTTTATACATTATCCATTAAGTAAGTTTTTAAAAAGATAAAAAAATTATTCAAAGAATTTATATACTCAATGGTTTTTCATATTAACCGTTGAGTATTTACATTTACATACTCAACAGTTTTTTAATTTAACTATTGTGTAAGTTTTTAGGAGGGAAAAAATTTCATTTATTAATATACTCTACGGTTATACATAAAAACCGTTGAGTATTGATCTACATTATTTCACACTTTATTTAATAACCATTTAATATGAATTTTTTGATTTTTCGCCTATATATATTAAATGGTTTTAATATTAACCGTTGAATAAATCCTATTATATATAGCCATTTTTGTAGTAGTGCATGCATGCAACCTTATGGCAACTTATCAACATATATACACAAGTTTTTGGTTCATTACACAACATTCTGAGTTCACACAGCTTTACGGTATTGTTTAGTTAGGGGGAGGCCCCCTCCCCTCCCCTTGTTTGAACAAGGGGAGGGGAGCCTCCCCTCCCCTCCCATTATTTTGTTAGGTGGAGGCTCTCCTCCCTTCCAAAACCTCCTCCTTAAATTGGGGGGGAGAGCCCCCTCCCCTCCCCTCCCCTCCTCTTAAACCAAACAGAGCCTACAACTCTAAACTAGTCCTAACTCTTTTCCCATACCCTAATCACTACTCTATCCTATAAAAATGTAATTATGGGGGTGAGATAAAATTTCAATAATAGAATAACTCACTCCTGTTGACTATCACATATAACTATATGAAAGTAAAACATAATATACCATTTAACATAACATATATCAAGAGTTTCACTTAAATCACATCAATATTTCACATTTCACCTTTTTACCCTTCTTTTCACCACTTTATGAACACAATCATGATCTTTACCGTTCGAACCTCCAAATTATCCTGACTCAAAACCATAGGCTTACCTTAGACTAATATAAAATCTCATTAGCCTTGAGCTGACCTTTAATGAAAGAATCACCTAGTCAAAAGTGTTTTATCTCACATTTGGTCTATGGTTTTCCTCAATACACATAATGGGGTGTCATTAACTCTAACACTGTATCACACAGACATTAAGGAGTCCTAAATTTCCAATATTGCACCTCAATAGGCATTAAGGAGATAATCTCCAACAGCATAACTCAAAAGGCATTAAGGAGCTATAATTCTCTAATACCATACCCCATCGAGCACTGAGGAGAATATACCATATGGTCTTATCACCACACTCCAGACAGGTGAACTTGCACCCCTATGATCATGCTTTTCAAACTAATCTTAAGTTCTCAATCACTACTTTACATGTTTTCTCATACATAACACACACATAAACACACACACACACACACACACACAGAGATTTACATACCATATAAAATCACATATTTCAATACTTTTATTTAATTAAAAGCCATTTCAAGCAATATTCACAAAATGCCATAAATCATGCTTAGTTGACAACCATTTCATACACATATAGCATACCCACACACAGTTATACTAAATAGTCAAATAGAGGAAGTTATTTGATTATCTCAACCTTTTTGTTACTAGAAAGGTTACCCATAAATTTTAACTACCTTAAAAGCTTGTCATAAGCTTTCTTTTTCAACTCACACAAATGATATTCTACTCTAAACATAAGTGGCACAATTTAATCAATTGGTCCAATTTTATTAAAAGCACATAATTACTACTTATAGCTATATTTAGCCATTTATACTCTTCCATTTACTCGTTCTAGGTAAATTACTATTCGATTACCACTTTACATCACCTCAACTAATCTCATTTTACCTAAACACGATTTTCACTCTAAAATCTCATTGAATTAGGACCAAATTGAGCCTATGGGTTCAAAGCTCTATTGTTTAACTATAAACTAGTCACAAAGCTCTAATTTAACTCATAAGGACCTTTTTATTACTATTAGGAAAGAATCAAGCCCCTTAAATTTCATCAATTCAATTTCTCTATAGCTCATATTCAGAGAAATTTGGGTAGAATGGAAGGTAAGAGTTATTCATAGCTTACCCACTAAGTTACTGATTAAAAGCACCTTCCACGGCTCCAAAGTAGCTTGCCCTAACACACCAACCCTTCTCCTCTTCTCCTTTCATGTGTTATCTAATTTCTCTCTCTGAAATTCACATAAAATTCATGACTTATGGGGTCATTTTCTTGTTCATGCGCCACAATGCATGTGGCACCAGCCACGGCGTGTGACACAATGAGAAGAATTCTCACCACACACATTTACTTTAACCTGAAACACAATCCTTCCACCCATACCTATTCATACAACATCCCAGTAAGTCAAACTATTAAGTAATCATTCAAATCTCTAATTTCACACTAATTACCACTTTACCCCTAATTAACAACTAATCACAAGATTAAGAAATTTAGGATTATGCACCTACTATATCCCAAGCATCTAGAAGAGGAATTCAAGGTCAATTCATTAAGACTCATGAAATCTTACATGGCCATCATATATTCATGGAGGAAGCAAGATATTCTTGATGTTTTCTAGCTAGATTCTTTATAGAATCCTAGGCGAGAGTTGATGGATGAGGAGTTTTGAAGTCTTCACTTGGCTAAGCTTAACTATTTCTTCATTTTCAATTTCATTAGAATACTATTACTATTGCTGATTGTGGTTAAATTTGACTTTAGTTTCATGGTTGTTTGTAATTTATAATGTTGAAACACGATTGTTGAGTTGAATTTCATGCTCTTGTTGCTACTAGAATTTCAACTTCCTCATGAATTTATATTGTAATATGAGATTTCAATTGGTAAATGTCTTGTATTAGCCTATCATGTAATTTTGTGGTGAATACTTGAAGAGTTGCTTGAGTTTCATAGTCTTAAACTTAGGTACAGCTTTGAACAATGGCAATTAGGGATAAATTTTAACTAAACACTTGGTTAATTCTTGAGCTAAGCTAGTGAGGTTACCTAAGGGGCTTGTAATAGTACTTAGGAATTAAATTAGTAAAGCTAGGTTGCTTGAGATAGTTGTCTTAAGTAAACATATTTTTTAGCCAAGGAAGAGAATTTGAATGAGCTACCATAACTAGTTAGAGGCTAGGAATCTTCCATTAGCAACACCCTAGAGTTCCTACTTTAATCAGGAAGCCACTTCTTTCTTAATCAAGCTAAGTTTACTACTTTAATTTACTTGATAATTAGGTTAGCAATTAGGTAATCAACTTCAAATTTTAGGTGATTTATTCCACTAGATAACTTTAATTAGACTTTAAAACATTCCTTAAGAGATAACCTAGGGTTGGCCCTATATTGCATTAAGGTTAGGTTTAGTTTAATTTTGAAGGTAAGCAACTCATTTCTTTATCAAAATTTTAGTGCCGTTGCTAAGGAATGGGTTTAGGTTGGATTTAGTGCTTAATTTGTTTATTTTGTGTTTCTAGAAAATTTTGAGAAAAATCATAAAATTTGTGTTTGTGTTCTGTTTAGTGTGTTTGTATTGTTTAAGTGTTTTCATTTTGGTGTAGAGAAAAGAAAAAAATTTAGTGCAATTTTTGTTGGTTTAGTGTAGAGCTGAAAATACTTTGTTTCTAGTGTCTCTGTTTGAAATTAAAAAATTGACTAGGAATGAGTCTAGGAGAATTTTGACTTGAAATGTGTTTAGTTGAAAGATATATCTCTTAGCCTCATTTTTAACTTAGTTTAGTCAATTTTGGACATGGGGATTGTCTTATGGAATTTTCACAAGCTAACAAGGTTTAAGAGCCTTTATAGAGGATCCTACAAACTCTGTGGCAAATTTAAATTGGCAAATTTCTCACTTTGTGTGTCCAAATTGTTTGATTCTAGTTTCATATTTCTCCTTATTATGTTATATTTATTTCTTGTATTTAGAATTTTCTTTGATTTTGCCATTTTGCTATTTTATAGTTTGTTAGAAGCTCTAAAGGTTTTCTAGATGAAATCCTATTTCTCTAGAATTATGGACCAACTTTTGAAATATTCTGAGAACGATTGGGAAGGAGTTTTTATATGAAAGTTTTACATCATTTTCCTGTATATCTCTTGTGTTTCTCATAATATTTTTAGGGGAATTGCTCAAGTGGATTGGCTGCTAGAAAATCCACAAGTTGTGGTCTCTAGAGAGCTTGCTATGTGAATTTCAAAATTGTCAAAACTTCTTGATTAAGCATTTCTAACTCTCTTTCTGCTTATTTGTTCATTTTGTTGCTACTGAGTTTAATAAAAAAATTCTTGTTTTCAAGTGTTTGAATTGTCTCTTTGTTATTTGCATTTTAGCATAATTTGTGCTTTGTTTTTCATCTTTTTGAGCTTGATTAGTGCATGATCTAAAGGAAGCATACCTCTTTTGTTGAATTAGATCCAAAAATTGAAAGGAATATTTCAATGTTGAGAAGATCACAACAATTATTGATTCTCTTTTAGTTTGTAATTCAACAATGGAAGGTATCATAAGGTATAAATATTTACATAATGAGGGCCATGGAATATTTGCATAAATATTTGCATGATGATGGCCATGTTAACAATAAATTTAAGGGCTTGCATAATCCTAGAGAGGAGAGGAGCATTAGACAATTAACCTTTTTATATTCCTCCTATTAATGTTCAATTTAAAATTAAACCCTCTTTGATTAATGCATTGCTAAAATTTTATAGGTTAACAGGAGAGGATTGCCATAGGTTTTTGCATACTCTCTACTTAGTTTGTGATATTATGAAGCCCATGGATGTAAATGTTGATGATGTTCAAGCTAAGGCTTTTGTTTTCTCTCTTGAAGGTTTAGCAAAGGAGTAGTATTTCAACTACCCTTCTTATGTAAAAGTAAGTACAAGTAAGCATATGGGCCGAGCTAATAAGGCATTTCTTGGATAAATTCTTTCTAAATTCTAAAGTAACCAACTTGAGAAAGCTAATTTAAGGGGTCCAACAAGGAGAGGATTTAGTCTAATATTTGATTCCAAGAAATAAGATCAATATTAATGCTGCTACTGGTGGATACTTGATTGACCTCACTTCCTTAAAGGCTTGGAAACTAATTGACAAAATGGGCTCAAGTAGTGCTTACAACTCTACAAGGGAGAAAAGGAGGGTGAACATGGTTGGTTCCTTAATGTTTAATGATTCACATGTGAACTTGCTTGCCGTCAAGATTGAGAGAATGTTGGCTCCATAAATATCTCAAGTGAGCAATGTAAGACTTCTCAAGTACTAGTCCCTTATTCTTGTACTTTTTGTGACTCACCAATGCATGTAGAAAGCAATCATCCTATTAAATTTGAACAAGTGAATGCTATCTACAATAGGAAACAATCTTATGGTGAGACGCAAGGGCAAAGAGCTTATCCTAATATTTACAACCCTTCATGGAGAGACCATCCCAATTTTTCCTATTCAAACCCAAATGTGGCTTTGCAAGACAACCAACAAAGAGGAGCATATCCAAACAACTTTGGCCGAGACACTCTACCTCATTTATCTCAAGGTAGTTCTTCCTAAAGTTACAATCCAAATGGTGATTCTCTTATACCTTCTTCTAATTCTTATCATGATAGGAGGCTTGTACCAATTGAGAGTTCTTCTAACTCTAATTCTTCAAATGATATGAGTGTGTTATGTGCAATTGATTGAAATGAATACCTTGTACAAGAACATATATGATGGATTAGGTAATAAGGTAGAGAATATGGGTAATAAGTATGAGAACATGAACTCTAAAATTGATGCCCTTCTCAAATAAATATGCTTGCTAACCAATCAAGTATAGCCAATGCTCAAGCCTCTATATTACCATCCAACATCATTGCTAATCCTAAGGCTAATCTCAATGCTATCACATCAAGAAGAGGAAAGAAGTTGGGAGAAAGAGTGCTACAAGAAGCCAAAATAGAAGGGAAGGCTGAGAATCCCATTTTGAATTCTTCTCTTAATGTTAATGTTTCCAGTTCTTCATTTGCTCTTAATGATGTATCTTTTTGTAGGGATGATGATGATGAGAACATTGAGGAGATCATTTATGAGTAACCACCAACTAAGGTAGAAAAGGGAGCTTTGGCCAAGATGAGAGAAGAAAGAGGAGTAGAGACTAAAAAAGAAAGAAGAAAGCGAGGAAGGTTTAAGGAAGGAAGAAGCAAAACAAATTCAAGTACTTGTGAAGAAGCTTCCTTTCCAACAAGCACAAGTAGTCCTTAAGCAAATAAAAGGGCAATTTGATTAAGAGGTATATAATTTCTTTCATAAGATTTATGTCAATGTACCCTTAGTGGATGTTATTAAGAACTTTTCTAAGTATGCCAAATTTTTGAATGATTGTTGTACGAACAAAAAAAAGTTTAGGCCTAATATAGGGGTTCAATTACCCTATTTTGTGAGTGCTTTCATGAAACCTCAACTCCCTATCAAATGTGAAGACCTCGATTCTTTCACAATCCCATGCAAGATTTTCTCAATTCTCTCATGCCTTGATAGACTCAGGTGCAACCATACATGTCATGCCTATTTCAATTTATCAAACTTGAGTCTTGATTGCTTGCATAAGACACCTACGATATGCCAATTAGAAGATAGAAGCGTTAAGAGACCATATGGACTAGTAAAAGACTTATTCATTTGTGTTAAAAGTCTATTATTTCCTATGGATTTCTATGTGCTTGACATGTCCAAGGAAAGGAGTGGGGATGATATTTTGATTCTTGGAAGGCCATTTATGAGAATGCCTATACACTCATTGATATAGAAAAGGGTAGTTTGATTTTGAAATATGGGGGAGGATCATGTTATTTTTAATATATATGAAGCAATGAAACATCATTTTGAGGATTATTCTTTGTTAGGTGTGAGTTTAATTGAGTTATTGCTTCATGATGCTTGTGAGTCTCACATGATTAATTCTTTCTCACATGTTGATGATGATTTGTCTCTTGTCACTACTACATACATTGATGGATGTAATTGTTCTATTTGTTTGGAGATTGATGCGTGCTTGAATGATACAACTACTACTTCTCATGATTTATTAAAATGTCTCCTATGCTTTATCTTGAAATGCTTGAGAAGGGTATATCTTCTTGTGTTGTAGGCACTAATACCATTAAGGCTAAATCTATGAGTTTTTCTCTACTCGAGCTTGATGTTCTTAGGATTCTCAAGCTATTGAAGGAAAATTCTACACTTACACATGTTGAGGTCATAGCTCATGTCCAACCACTTGAGGACAAGTTGCATGAAAAGGGGGAGGCTATGAAGAAGAAAGAAGGACTAATAAATGGAGTTGATCTTGAAAAAGAGGAAAAGTA